TCGTCGTCGCCGCCGTCGTCGTCGTCGTCGTCGTCGTCGTCGTCGGCGTCGGCGTCGTTGACGTCGTCGTCGTCGTCGTCGTCGTCGTCGTCGTCGTCGGTGTCGTCGTCGTCGTCGTCATCGTCGGCGGCGTCGTCATCGTCGTTGTCGTTGTCATCGTCGTCATCGTCGTCGTCGGCGGCGTCGTCGTCGTCGGTGTCGTCGTCGTCGTCGTCGTCGTCGTCGTCGTTGTCGGCGCCGTCGAAGTCGTTGGAGACGTCGTCGGTGTCGTCGTAGTCGTTGTCGGCGGCGTCGTCGTCGTCGTCGGCGTCGCTGTCGTTGCCAAGTGCCATTTGGTACCCACCGTCACGGTCTTAAGAGATTTTGCAAACCAAGTTGCGGGTGGGTGGGTGGGATGTTTGCGCGAGCAGTGGAGTGGACAACTCCCTGCGAACAGAAATTGTTCACACCCATAGCTTGTACTCCTCAGACAGGGAAGCGAAGATCATGGCATACATGGACATGCTGCTCGCCGTCACGCTCATGATTAAGGTGCTTAGCATCATGATCTTGGCCGTGTTCTTTCTTTTTCACGGTGCCAGTGTCGCAATAATGACTGCTAGTGCGTGTACGTGTGTATGTGAACAAGGTCGCTGGTATCATTATCACTTTGGTTCTTTGTGTTTTTGATCGTTCTGTCTATCTTTGTCGTGTCGGTGGCGTCGTCGTCATCGTGTTTGCAATGATATTGCTGTCGCACCCGATTCTCTCGCATGCAATGCGCCTTGACATTGCGTTTGCTCTCGCTTGGGGAATCGCTCTTGAACAGTCGTCGACTTTTGAACTCCAGCTGGATATCCTCACACCCGCGCGGCAAGGAACCCTTCTGGCTGTCGAACACCGGCTGCTTGCGCGCATCAGCTCAGGCTTTTGCCTGTTCTTCGGCAGGGTTGATCGTAGGGTCGCGAAAGCGCTTGTAGACCGCTGCGATGTCGTCAAGAGCCGCCTCGCTGAGGTCCGAATCGAACGCGCTAATGTTCTCTTTGAGCTGGTCCAGGGAGGTGGCTCCAATGATAGACGAGGTCACGAACCAACGGCTCTTGCACCACGCCAGCGCCAACTGCGTCGGACTCAAGCCGTGCTTGTCGGCCACCGCCACGTACTCCCTCGTCGCGGCCTCGGAGTCGCTGTTGCGATACCGACTCATGAAGCCAGGAAACAGATTCAGCCTCGCCCCCGCTGGCAACTCCGAGTCCGCGACCAGATACTTTCCGGAAAGTACGCCACCAGCCAGGGGGCTGTAAGCAAGCAGGCCCACGTCCCCGTACCGTTTGCAGCACACCTCCGCGAGGTCGGTCTCGTACGCCGTGCGGGTCAACAAGCTGTAGCTGTTCTGGATCGACACGATGCGTGGAAGACCGGTCCGCTCGGCTGCCTGCAGAAAACTCATAACACCGAACGAGGTCTCGTTGGAGACGCCAAAATAACGCACAACGCCCTCCTTATGCAGGTCTTCGAAGGCGCGCAGCTGCTCCTCGAAGGGCGTGTCGCCCTCACGCTGGTTCGCCTCTTCGTAAGGCCCTTGCCCGAAAAGGGGCACCATTCGGTCGGGCCAGTGGATCTGCAACAAGTCGATGTAGTCTGTGCCGAGCCGCTCCAAGCTCTTTTTCACGCTCTCGCGGACCTGCTCTCTCGTCACCCTCGTCGGGGCGCCGGCATCCCTGACCCAGGTGATGCGCTCGTTGTACCCGCAGACCTTCGTGGCGATGGTGAGCTCCTTCCGGTCGACGCCGCTGCTTTTCAGCCAGGACCCGATATACCTGTCAGTCCTGCCCTGGGTGTCGGCCTCAGTGGGCACGGGGTACATCTCCGCGGTGTCCATGAACTTCAGCCCGCACTCCTTCACCGCGTAGTCCAGCTGCGCGTGGGCCTCCGCCTCCGTGTTCTGCTTGCCCCAGGTCATGGTCCCCAGGCACACGTCGGGAACGACCAGCTCCGAGGAGCCCAGCTGCCGCATCCGGAAGGCGCGCAGCGCGGCCGCAGTTCGGGTGTTGCTAGAAGTGCCCCTGGCCCAGGGTGCCCCCAGGATTTCCAGGGAGGCCCCCGCGGCATCCAGAGAACCCCAGGCCGAGGAGGAGGAGGAGGAGGGGGAGGAGGAGGAGGAGGAGGAGGAGGAGGATGAGGAGAAGGAGGAATAAAACTAGGAATATGAGGAGGAGGAGGAGGAGGAGGAGGAGGAGGAGGAGGAGGAGAAGAAGGAGGAGGAGGAGGAGAGGAGGAGAGGAGGTGGGAGGAGGAGAAGAACAGAGGAGGAAAAGGAGGAGGAGGAAGATGAGGAGGAAGAGGAAAAGGAGGGGGAGGAGGAGCAGGAGGAGGAGGAGGAGGAGCAGCAGGAGTAGGAGGAGGAGGATGAAGAGGCGGAGGAGGAGGAAGAAAAGGAGGAGGAGCAGGAGGAGGAGGACCAGTGAAAACCCAAGGGTTATCAACGATGTTGGAATAAACCCTCCTTCTAAGCTCCCTC